CAGACAGAGAATAGAGAGGGCAGGAAAGAAGATGAAGCCTTTGAGAACGTCTAGGGTAACTGTCTCATTGAGTCTGTAGGAATTGCATTGGATTCAGATGGTTACATTACATTGAATGGAGGAGACCCCTGTAGTATTAAGGACCAGGTTGAAATACATTTGCAAGAGCACTGGACTGCGTGCGAATGGCTTCAGTGATACCCAAAAAACATGACAAAATCTCTGCTACAGGAGTAACTTCATATGCGACACAAATTTAATAGCTATAAGCCTTTCACTGTATTATCTCAGGAATCAATATACCCACCCTGAGCTAGACAATATGCCTATGCAAGGCTAACTGTCATATCAAGTATGTTACATATCACTCAATGAGCTATGAGCTGCCACAGCCAAGCTGCTATCCTAGCTAGCTCATAATACCTCTTTGATGTCATCAGCATGATAAAGATATTCTCATGTGGCTTTATCTAGGCTGCAAACACAATCGTGCTCTTGAATTAAGTTTGCTGGACAGAAAACTATGCCAAAAACTATGCTTTTTATAAAACTTTTTTATTCAGTTCTTTTTTTTACCCCCTATATTTACATATTGGTTTACTTAAGAAAAATAGGAACTGAATTCGATTTTCCTTATAGGAGAGTCACTTTTGCAACCATTTGAAACACAGTTACTTTGGAGCAGAGAGCTAAACACAGCTGAATAGCATTTAATGGGACAAAATCTCCTAACACTGACACAAATGCTATATGTCACATTCAAGATTAAGAATTTACAAGAAATTGGCTTACTCATATCTCTGTAACTTTCAGACTTTATTAACTCTAAAACACTCATTAAAGGTTCTCAGGTTTTAAAATCTCCATTCAAAATGCCAACATACCAATATGCCAAGTAGATTTTCCATATGCACCTACCCTCCTATACCATGTCATTTGCTATTTGCTCTGAGCAGCACATAATCCTACAATTATTTCATTGATTTTACCTTTGGGTGGGGAGAGAAGAGAAAATTCTCAAATAATAAGCATTCACCCTTGTAGCAGCCATAACAACTTTTCTAACACAGATCAGTAGTGTTTTTTTTTACGATATTGTCTGTACTGATCCTATTGAAACAAGTATTTGGGTATGTGTTTATTTAGGAAAAAATGCAAGGTACAAAGAAATTTTAGTTGAGTAAATCCTACAAAAGCAGCATTTCAAGTATATCCTGGGCTATATATTTTCAGAGGTCTCTCTCAAACTCATAAAGACTCGGGATTCAGTCAAACGTTTCCAAGCATCCTCACTAGTTTTCAATACATGACTTGTTACTCTAATGGTCTCATTTTTAAAATACCATACAGAATTTTCTTCTAAGCAGTACTGTATTCAAGTCAGCATGTGCTCAAAATTCACATCCCTTGCAAGGTGCAGAATTCAAACAACTGCAAAGGCTTTTAACAAAAATAATTATAATCTTTTTCTTTCGTCATTTAGTAACAGGAGATTGCTGAAAAAATCTTAGAACCCATTTTTTCATCAGTTCATCAAAGCGAAGTTACTCATAAGCACAGTTTCAATAAAAGAAGAAACCTAACTATGAAAATGGGGAGAACTCTTCAATGCTACTACTGTTATTTAAGAAAGCATGGCTATGAAAAATCATAGTTTCTGAACTAACTACTGGTTTATTACTGAAGCCTTCCTTGAGGAGCAAGAACAATAAACTAATAAAAGAAACTTCAAGAAGAAATTCTAATGAACCAAAATAAACCAAAACTGACTTACAAACTTAGTTTCTAACTAGCTTAGAAATAACAGAACTCTTGCAAGACATGCATCTGTTCTTCCATACGTCATCTCTAGAGTAGGAAATAAGCCATTGTTTTTGAACTGTGTCCTGAAACAAACTGCCTACCAATACATCATCTCTTCATTGCCTTTCATGGGTGCTGCTGCACACTGGAAAAGAAATCAGTAAGACTGAATGCTGGAAATACTCCAATGAATATGAGGAAAAGGGGAATTGCTCATCACCTCCATTTTAATTTTCAGTCAAAAGTCTACTGTCATCCCCTCGTACCGCAAAAATATCTTCCATCAGCTCTCAGCAGAATTGCCTTTCCAACAGGAATTTCAATTTTAGCTGTCACCAGAAGACACATTTAACCAGCACACAGCAAAGATCTTCCCAAGTTGCTTAAGTGTAACAATCTTAGTAAAGTTTTTCACATCCAGATCTCTGAAAGGACAGAATAATTGAAGACACAATGTTTCTTGAGCAATGCTCTAACACTCGGCTCCTTAATCTGCACTATCAACATGACATCTCTCAGAACATGGCCAGCTCCCCACAATGACCCTCATCTCAGGATGTGGCCTGAAGCTGCATGTCAGGCCCCAAGCCCTCCAATCTGCTCAGTGAGAGCCAAAAGTCAGATCAGATTGGAAGCAGATAGCAGAGTACAGCATGAGCTTACCCAGAGCATAGAAAAAGTTCAGAGTCAATATTTGAAGTTATCTCTACAAAGCAAACAACAGAAGTTTTGATAAGTACAATCCAGACAGTTTCTACTAAACTGGGATTTGTAGATGACCTTGTTGAAAAGAAAAACTTTTTAATATATCTGTATATAGTTACGGTATGAAACTGCAAAAAGGAATTCATTGCAGTCAGATTCAGGCTTCAACAGTAATTTTTTTCCTTCCATTTCATTTGTGATCCAAGAGGAAGATATGAAATGCTAGGTAGTGGTGGAGCTACTGATGGCCATGGGCACAGCGCAGTGATGTTTTCCAAACCAAGCTGACAGGCACACATCTCTTTGTGACTGAAGCAGCTGCACTGGTCAGTAAGGAAATCCATCAGCACGCAGCTGGCAAAATGTCCTCCAGATCTTTCAGTGTGACATTCAGGCTAATGCCAGAATAAACGGTTTCACTGCAACATGACCGCTTTGTAATACTGGCTTTGTATGCACAAAGGGTAATATCAAATACATAACCGCAAGTAAACTTTCTTACAGTATAATGCATACGAAAAGTCTGATCTTAGATCTTGCCAAAACAACTGGAAGTGGATGGTGATTCTCTGTTTGGCACATCCAAGTAGAGATACGATTTTTCAGACAAAAGGAGAGCAGCACTATCTGTCCACCCCACCCTAGCCAAAATTTCAATGGCTCAAAGTATATAGACAACAAATCAAAGCACTTGAACTCTCCATCACTTACGACTGTTTGTTGTAGCACTACTTATTGTTGCTGCTTTTCTTTATTTTTCTCTCTCTTTTTTCTAAATTTATAATTCAATCACCCTTATCGTGCTAAAAAGTAGATGAACAATTTTCACTCTGATGCCAACTTTATAGTTATAGATTTCCCACAAGTCAGCAGGATTGACAGACTCAAAGTGTAAGAAAATAGATCAAAATGATCAAGTATCATGACACATGCTTTTTCATTAATGCTAACAGAAAGAAATATTAGAATTTTGCAACTAACTAGCAGTTGAAACGATTAAAAAAAAAAATGTATGGAAAAAACTAGGAAACTATTCATTAGATTGCCAGAAAAAATAAATAAAGCTTCACCTACTCAGACAATTAGATAAGCTAAAATTCTTTATTAGCAAAATGAATTTACTTTCTTTTCTCCTACCTACATATTGTATTTGTAAGATAGCAGACAGAGGTCTTGAAAAATCTAGTGTATATATTGAAGTGATTACCTAAAAGCTAAATATTAAAAGTTATTTATTAAACATAGATAAAAAACTATAAAAAGAAAAAAGTCTGGTGTTTTTTGGTAAGCATGTACGTTTGTATCATGGCTGCAGTGAAACATGCATTAAGTATGAAACATATGGTTTCCATTTTGTAACCCTGGAACTCATCCAAAGACATTTTATGTTGTTAGCTTAACTGTTCTCCTCAGCTGAGAAGCTGTGGAAAATATCTCATCCAAAAAAAATCTGCACCTAATGGAGAACTGCAAAAGATTTGCTAGATCTGCTATGAACTATTAAAATTAAAAAAGGCTCTGAGTTTACTGTTTAATTACGGGAATATTTTTACTTAATTAGAATATAATTTTCAAACTCTGAAGATCTACTTTAAGAGGCACCACAAATTACATGAACAGATCATGTTGGAAATATTTTCTTAATAGAATAAATTTGTAGTGGTAGCTATGGCGTCATGTTGGAAATTGGCCATCTGACCTAATACCACCACATGACAAAACCATTATTAATGTATCATCTCCCTGATTTTATGGATTTATAAAGCTTATCTTGTGGAGATAATGCTCTGAAGGCCATGTTAAGTAATAATTCAATGCAGAGACCAGAGATCAGTAAAAAGATCATATTTCTTTAATTTTAGTAATATTTGATTTTGCCCTGATGCAGAATAGGTTGTCAAAGAGTTGGCTAGGAATATCAAGAAAATCTTAGCACAGATTTATATTTCTCTTTTATTAATGCAAAATACATTAAAAATGCTGCAAACAAAGTCCCTAGGTTAAATTTTGCTTTGTTGCTCTTAATTCATCCTCAAATTGCAAGGCTGTTAGCCTCAGTAACAGCAATTAGATGATGTATATAATCTCTCATACCTGTCTGCTGGAAGCTGTTGAAGCTAACCAATTTGTCCAGAAATTAGCATGATGAATTTAACCCATTAAGCATTCTGTAGTTCTTATTGCTAATAATAATAATAATATTCCTGATCTTTCTTTTCATTAGGCCAATGGAAAGGCAGTATAAATTAGAATTGCGACAAATCCAACCAAGCACATTTGGAGAAATTACCAGACTCTTTTCTTTATTTCGTTAGTTGAGCTCACTTGGGATATATGCCAGCTGAAAATCCCATTACGCTATCTAATGGCTTGAGAACTGTGTTCACCATAAAGGTCTTGCAACCTGAGAATTCACACTGCCAATGCTCTCCTAAGGTATAAGCTTGTTCTTCATAAACCACTGCAAGAGTTAACCATTTAATTTAACTCACCTTTGCCATTTGTGCCTGGACTCCACTAGCTTTTAGAGCAGAAACTGCCTTCTGAGCAGCTGCTGGGCTGTCGAAGTCAACAAAGCCATAACCTGAAATGTAAAAAACTCCAGTTTCTCTTCAGATTGCATATTTCATCAACAAGGTAGTAATCAGCTTTTAATCAAAGACTTCATATGCTATGAGCATGGTTATGAGCATGGTTATTTAACACAATTTCTTTGTTGGTTCTTCATGTAGTTCCCAGAAAAAAAAACAAAAACTCTACCCAAGTCTTTCCATCTTGTGATGATGGAGACCTACTGTAGTGGAATAAATCAATTTCCATGCTCACTAACTATCAGGATTTTATCCAAATCTCAGAAATAGTATGGTGCTTTGTTTTGAGTTATCTGGTACATAACCAAGAAGAGCAAATGTGACATCATAAATTCATTTCATAGAGTTCACCAAGGAAAGCATAATCTGTTAATTTTTCTGAACTACATTCTTGGTCTGGTTTGAATAAGTGACCAATAAGCCTGCAGGCTCCAGCTCATTTACTCAGAACTGGGAGAATAGGTTAGTTTAATAGATGCATATCTACTGCACCATAATCCAGTTACTTCACTGTAAGTACATAAAGGACAGTTAAATTAGAAAGTGAGTGAAAACCCACCTTCAGTGAAATCAAATGATTTTTTCCTATCATTACTGAAACTAGAATGTAAGTAAAATAATTTTTCTATGTCACATGATGGAATATTTCAGTTTTAATGTAAAACTGAAGTTAATTGTAACAATTTCCATACACACATATATATATGCAACTTTTTTTTTTTTATTATTCTGAACAACAATATACAGTTAATAGATTCCAATGTATTTGGACAGCAACACGCCTTGGTGACTACAGACTGGGGTTTTTAATCCCCAAAAGATTATTGGAGTTTGGAGGTTGCTTCCCTTATTGCAAGCCTCATTCTATATTTTTCAGCTCCCCCTCCTTCCCACCATTAAACCATACTAAAAAATCCCTCTCCAATGTCTAAACAGGGATAAAAACAAAAACCAAAAAACTGTAGAGGAGTAGAAAATTCAATCATTTCTTCAGATGGTAACAGTATCCTCTTACAATATGTCTATACTGAGGACAAAAAGGTTGTGCAAAGATATTACTGAGCCAGCTTTAAAGGCCTTAACTTGGGAAAAAAACAACTAGAGCAGCCTTGTACATCACAGCAAGCTTATATAACCTGCCAAGAAACTGAAGAAAGCAGCATATTGTTCTGTGTAACATGTGGTGTTGGGGACTGTTAAATTTTGACATGAAACAGAGTGAATTAGCTCATATCAAGTTTTGGTCTGCCAAAGCAGGACTAGTTTTCCATACCCACACTAGCATAGGTTATCTCTACCACCACAATGCAGGGTGCAATATAGATGGAGTTACATACTGATACCAAGCTTGCCATCAGAGCTGGCTTTGCCATCTTTTCGATGATACGTAAGCTCAATCGCTCATTGCAGTTAGTTAGTTGAAGTTAGTTTAAATGCCATGGTATGCTTTTTTGGCAAGAGCCAGAGATTCTGTCAATCTCTTGATTACATTCCAGTTACATCTCTGCATTCTGTCTACTCATATTCCCACTGCAACTCTGAATGCTTGGAGGGAGCTTCCCCATAGCTTCAACTTGCCGTACACTGTTACAGTAGACATTAGTTACTGCTTCACACTGGTGAGAGTTCAAATCTGTATTGGAAAAGTCAGCTAAAACATCTTAAAATATTAACGTGAGAATTTCTGTGTTTAAATCTTTGAAGAGACAGGATCAGAAGCAGTATTGCTGGCAGAACTCCTGAAGTCTTCAGGAGCAGGGGGAATGGGCAGACCGAAATCAGTTAGCTGCTGTCATCAGTATTAATGGACAGAAATAACTGAAAAGGGCAATTACTATTTCCTAGTCACAATGTGCATGGATGACATCTACATGTAAACTGAGGAAAAAAATTTAGAAATTTTGGTTTCTGCACTGTCAGTCCATCATTAACAGCTTAAGATGGAGACCCAGGTAGCTATGCACAGGAGCTGCACCACTGCACTGTTTCCAATTCTTCCACAAAAAACAAGACTTGATTAACAATAAATTCTTGTCTCCTACCTCTATCTATCAGCTTTATGCTCTTTCATGAGCTTTACACTCACTAACATTGCTAAATGATCTGACTCAATTCTTTAATTTGTTTAGAAATTATACTCTTAACTGTAACAAAAAAAAAAAAAAAAAAAAAAGTCTACAATCTGATATTTCAGTGTCTGCTGCCACACCTCTCACCATGCACACCGCTGGGATATGAGATTACATGTCACTATAATTGCAGTGAGTGCTGCAGATCACTGAATGGACATATCCAACTTATCTGAAGGAGGTTTTGTATTTTTTCCAGCTGCAATTACTTAGGTGAAAATGAACCCCCTCTTTGCTCCCAACACACTGACTAGCATATAGCTAAACATAATTACACTACTGGAACGTGTAATTAACTGCTGCTTTAAACTGTTCAGATTAGTGGAGCTGATTTCCACAATATACATTTTTTTCAGACGCTTAGTACGATCGAATGATCTGCTGCAAGCTTCCCTGCTTTCTCCAGGCCAGAGGAGAAAAGCTGCTTTTAACTCCATTTTAGTGTTTCAAACAGAGGCCGACTGGCAGCCAGCAGTGTGCGTGTCCGCTTCACCCAGGGCTGGCTGCACCACTGACACAGGCAGACTGCCAGCTCCGTTGGAAACAAATGTACTGAGTATGCTGACCATGGGCAACAATAAGCCTGCTTTATGAGCATCACTAAAGAAAAGAAATCAAAAGCACTTAAAATACAGCATTGGTTTATTTTATGAAATCAAACTGCTAGTCAATTATTAAATAGTCAATTTTATAAAATCAATTATCCAGGTGAATGTAAAAAAAGCAAACATACCTTTGCACTTGTTCGTTGTCTTATCCAAAATAGCCTTCGTGGATACAATTTTCCCATACCTAGAAAGTATTATAAATACGTAAAAAAACATGTAAGGAAGAAAAAAAACCATTCTATTACAGCAAACCTCCCATTCAAATTGTTTTATTATGTTTACCTTCAGTAAGTTGCAATAGTATATAAACTGTATATTTATTTAATGAAAAGTCATATGTAGACAGAAGCAACAAAAACGATCAACTATTTCAAGTGTGATCATGCTCTCTTCTCACAGAATCACAGAATACATTGGTTTGGAAGGGACCTTAAAAATCACGCAGTCCCAACCCCCTGCCATGAACTGGTTGCCACCCACCAAACTGGGCTGCTCAGGGCCCCATCCAACCTGGCCTTGAGCACCTTCAGAGATGGGCAACTTCCCTGAGTTCCCAGTAGCACACGAGAATCATAAAACAAGTGAAAGAAAAAGTGCTTTAAACAAAACATACTATTCTGGTAAAATCCTGGTAGGCACAAGGAACCATATTTTAGGGATAAGCGGGATAAGCTCACTCAGTCAGTATAAGTACCAAATAAAGCAGACAAGAAATGACCTCGTCAGCGCTAGTCTTGATAATAAGGTTCAAAAAAAAAATAATATATATATATATATTATATATTGAATATTTATTTATTTTAATTGCTGATTCAAACCCAAACCAATGAAACCTCTCTTCCAGAAAACTGATATGTATGAATAAGATTTCTAAAAGCTGATCAGCAGAGCTGATAAAGAATTTTCTGTATGTTTAAAATGGAAAATTGAAATGTTAACAATTTTAACTAAAAGCAAAACATCCATCAGGAAAGTTTCAAATTTCTTTTTGTAAAGAAAAAGATATTCATTGCCTGTTTGCATCTTTTCAATAGCTTGGTAGCCCAGGCAGCAATCTTCTATGCAGCCCAAAGGTGAGCATCAAGAGAACTAAGACAAAACTAAATAAAAAGACAGACAGAAATCTCAGCTATGGGAATGACTGCTGCACCCTGCAAAGTTTGCCACTAATAGCTCTTTTGACTCTGACTTTGAGCTGAACTTGTTGCATTTGGTGAAAACTTGCAACTTGCATTGGAAATCATATCCCATTTTTTATTAAAAAGTAAAAAAAGTAAAAAAGCAGCTCAGAGACACTCATTACAGAGCAAAGCAGCATCTGAATCAGAAACTGAGCAGAGATTCCCAAGTTCCTTACCACAAGCTCCTCTGTTTGTTTTGAACTACATTTGATGCGATCTGCTTAGTATATAAGAGAGGAACAATGAAACATGACTTTATTTTCACATGAGCAAACACAAGGTAACATTACATCAGTAGGTATACCTGTGCATTGCGTGCCAAGAGGTTCTCTGTCACTGTACAAGAACCAAAAATGAACTGATAAGTATTAGAAACGTTATCAGCAGAAGAAAGTGGAATTTGGGGAAGAATGAAGTTTCGCCAGCTCACTTGCTAAATATAAATCCATCAGAGTGGCAGTTACTGAATAGCGCTTCCAAAAGACATTATTTCAACAGATGACTGACTGAATTTCTGCAGAAGCTGTATTAGTCTTAAAGGTTCTTCAAAATATGCAAGAAGTCCAATAAATAAAATTATGCTTAGATACATAAGAGTGTTCAAATAGCTGCTTACTTGCAAAGTTAGTTATTTAAGGGGGAAGCCTATCTACAAAGTGCTTCCCTCCTAAAGAACAGTTAAGTATATTCTTCAGTCTTCACGATGAGTTTCAGCCAATGAGTCATCGTATGACTTCTTTTGGCTGCAGTGGAGTAAATCAGTAGCACTATCTACTAGACATTAGTGTCCTTATTGTATTTGGAACTGTGAACATCTACACTGACAGAAAAAGAACTATCCATCTATAGCCTAAAAATGTACAAGAGTCTATGAAAAACTATATATGCTTAAATATATCTGGAAGATGTAGTAAAGCAACAGAAATGTTGCCTAATAACTGTAGCACATATTTCCTTATTAGTAGTCATTCTATATGAGAGGTTTATACCCTGTGAGTTCAAATTTCTGAACTTTTCCTGTGAGCACAGAGTAGATGTATGCGTTGTAAACACAAGAGAGGCTTGTGTTTACAAACACAGAAAGAGAGATCTTCAAGATCTGCTAAATTCTTGCACCTCAGCACTAGATCTGAAGCTAGCATTCTCCATATCCTACCAGCTTTCCCACTGTCTTAATGCAAAAGTTACAAAACCTTTGAGGAAAACATACATGCAAACAACTAACAAAATAAGGGTCATCTCTGCTAATGTTTCAGGTCTTGAAAGCATAGAAAGTGATAGTGAAGAATACACTATTGAGTATCTGTATAAATAAAACAGCTGTAGTCCTCTACCAATTTGGTGACTGAGAGGAATCAGGGACTGGCTTTGGACAGCGCTGGCCCAGATACTGATGCCAACAGCACCTAAATACGTCTGCATGTCTGTTCCTTAAACCCATCCCAGCCTTCCAACGTACAAGACCACTGGCAATCTAATTCACTGTCCCGGGTAACACAGCTCTTGCAGAGAACCAGCTGCCATGGAAGGCAGCCAAGAAAAGTCAGCAGTGCGAGTCTGGGAATGCACCAGAGAAACAATGTAACAGTGGCACGCATCACCAGGGTTTTTCCTGTGATGTTCCCAGTAAACACTCCTTCCAGGCGATAGCTCTCCACTCCTCATGAAGCACAGAAACGCAGTTTGCTCCACCTGAGCTTAACCTGAGGAGAACACTTTCCTTGCTTCCAACATGTGGTCTGATAACGGGAAATTACTCTTTACAGTTCCTCGTAATTGCTTCCTTCAAATGATGACTATCATGAACATCTACTTCCTTCCTCCTAAATTCTGAAATCCTAATATTATTGCTAATATAGGTTCCTGCATTCACTTATTTGCTAGCGCAACTGCAATTCAGATCTATCAGAAATCAGTGATCTACAGAACGCATTAAAATCATGCTCCAAACTAATGTTAGAGGACTTGCCACTCCCCTCAGAGCTTGAGCACATCTCCACTGGTGCTGCTGCCCTGCTACTCCAGAGCCCTCCTGCATGCTTGATGAGAATTGTTGCTGAAAGCAGGGCAACAAACCAACAACAGCAACAAAGTTTTGAAGATAGAAAGATGTCTTCAGCTTTGCATCTCTTTTCTCATTTTCTTAAGTACTGCACTTGTACTAGCATCAATTAATGTATTAAGGACAATAGGACACAGGTAAAACTCAGGCAAATAATTGACAGGGTGAATTGATTATGAGACTAAAGGGGCTACGTTCAATAACAAGCTGTATACTGATGTAATAGCTATCTATTGTACAGAAGATCATGACAAATGTATATTTGGATACCAAGGACAGATTTGTCTGAAAGCCAAATTAGGGAGATATGCAGTATTGCTACTTCACAGGACAATGTCCACCTCTGCTTATCACAAACTCTGCACAGAAATGAAAGGATAAGTCCACCAGCCCATATGCCGCAACGTTTACTGCTAAGCAATGTGAACCTCAAAATATGGCAACACACCTTTGACTTAGATACTTCTAAAGTGGAAAGCTTGAAGCAAAAAATCTATAGGTACTTTAAAAAAATTGCATTGTTCAGTAATATGATCAAAGGCAGTACACAAGTAACAAGATCTATTACATATAGCTAGGAACACTTTTATGTCTACTTAAAACATCTCGGAAGTATAATTTTGGCAACCTCAATGATGGAGGATAAAAGAAAAGGGTCTTTAAAACACTGTACACCAATCAAACTGAATGAGTGTTTATTCTTCTCCATTTGTACATTTGCTAGCACAATGAATGCACTTGTGACATGAGGGCAAAAAGGTGCCATGAGGAGCATGGCAAGAAATGGGAACAAAGCAGCTCGAAGGCTCTGCCACAAGTGCTACTTCGAGTGTTGAAAGAACTTATCTGTGTGTGCATTAGGGGAGGTACAGTAAGAACAGGCTTTGAAAAGCTAGACAGGGATTGTCTGGAATTGTTTAAACCTTTGTCTACAGCTTAACACACCTCATTCCATCAAGCTCACTATTTCCTTTTACAGTATTTTCCAACTGTGAAGGTTTTTCTACCACCTGGCTTTGACTCGGACCCTAACACACCAAAAGAATCCCTGCTCATCTGGAAAGCCCTTGCCATTTAGAGCTGCTTAACTCCTCCAACCCGTGATGAAGACAGGCTATGCCATCTCTTTCTTTGTAGAAGCCCAGTCCTGGTGTAGAAAGAGCATTCCTAGAGACACTGCTGTTCTCCCCTGTGTTACTACAGCACTGTCAGAAGGCCTCCACAATGCAGAAACAATGCTGCAACGCTTTTGTATTTATTTTAAATTGTATTTTAGAACTTAGCACCTTACCAGTGCCCTTTGCAGAATGCTTTCTTTTTAAGAGTCAGAATCAGATGGTAAACCCAGGCACATATTTCATAACACACAAGTGGTTCTGAGTACATGAACTCACTATGAAGCAGAATTGTGAAATTCTGGCTCAGCACAAAGATTTTGGTGAGCAGCCAGTGTCCTCGCCAGGTGACCCAAAGACACGAGAGAGCCAGCAGGGCCACACGGTAAGGCAGATCAGTTAATGCTAAAATACACTGCAGATGCTGTATGCATCTGCATCAAAATAAACCTTACTTTAGCAATGAAAACAAAAAAAAAACAGGTAAAGCAAATGGGAGAAATACTTGTAAAGAAATTGCTGGATACTAATTGTAATACAAAAAGATGCATACACTCAAAATGTAATTTTTTCTTGGAATGAATACTACCCTTCTGTATGATCCCAAATACATACAAGTAACAAATACTCATTTCTCCAAATCAGTCAACTTTAAGCAAGCAACTTCACCTTCTCAAACTCAGAGTATCCTATTTTTAAAAACTTAAAAACAAAAACAATTTACATATAACTAAGGACCTTCATAGCCAAGTCTGTATCATGTTCTGTACTATTACTTGTAGTATATGTGTAAGACCAGCCAGTTCATTTTCACTGAGATCTAGAG